GCCGCCTTGCCAAGCGCGCCACCGCGCCAGGATTTGCGCGCCGCGCCACCGCGCTGGCGCGCGTTTCCAGAGATTTTGGGTGCCCCCAAAATTTGAGTGACACTTGAAAACCTGCTCCCAAATGGGACCAGGAATGAGACCGACAGGACCATCACATATCAAAGTGCCTTTATTACAGTACTTTTTGCATGTTGATATCAGCATCAAGAAGAAAGCAGGCGAGCGCAAATACATGAGAGTCGTCAATGCAAACATCAAAGCGTATCTACAACGATGCCTTGCCACGAGGATCGAAGGGCAAAAGAAGCGCAAGCACTCCAGAAACCAAGAACAGTGCTCCTGATATGTAGATGGGCACCGAGGAGGTCAGATCGGCGTAGAGGGCAATAATAGGCGACTGTTATTAGCGTAAAGTCAGCCAGGTATGTCAGAATGAGACCAAGATGAGCGTACCATGATACCAAAGACGCGGTTGGCCATCGCGACAAGCGCGTTGCCAGTTCCTCGGTCCTTCGTGGGAAAGAGCTCGGGCGAGAGGGCATACAAGACGCCGTACATGATGTTGGATGTGAAAGAGTATGCGCAATTCCATCCGAGCAGTGCGTCAGACGTCCGTGCTGTAGTCGAGGCGAAGAGGAATACCCCAGTCAGAACTGCGCGAGACAATACATTAGTCGAGTAAACGGGCTGAATGCGGGTCAGGACATGCCCGTAGAGATGGCCAGGGAGCCGCGTCTACCCAGGTATGGGATCTCAACGATCCATCCAGCGAGCAAAGCGCCTGGGATACCGATGACGCTCAGAATGACTTGCTGGAAGGAGGTAAGCGAGTGCTAGCAGACTCGAATGATCGTGACGTACATTGCGGTATGTGATGTACACTGAACCATCGCCGAAGTCAGCGCCGCGAGTTTGTAGGCTGTGGAGACTGTTAGGTCCCGCGCCATGCCCGAAAGCAGAAGGAAGTCGCACAAATAAGTCACAAATGCGTTGTAGAGCGGGAAAGCGAGGCCAATCAAAGCTGCACGATTGTATCAGTAACAGAGTTACAGGCATAGACGGCCATTCGGGATCTCACCCCAGATGACGATGAGAAGAGAGGTCGACCATGCCAGTTTCCGCGTAGCGAAGAGTGGTGTAACATGCTCCCAGCCGAAGACGTCCAGCTTCCTCTTGATTGCACCCATAGCCGAAGTGTCTAGAGCGCGTTCCGCTCCCTCTTCATCCGATTTCCTCGCGTAGCGGGTCTCGGCCGCTTGCAGCATCTCGAGGGTAAGAGAGCTCTTGACTCCATTGTATGCAGCAACCTTGTGCACAACCGCTACGGCTTCTTCATCTCGACCACGCCCCATCAGGTACTTCGGACTCTCGTACAAGTTGAAGAGCCCGAAGCGGACGAAGAAGAGGAAAAGCATGAGACCACCCATGGTGTACAAGAAGTAGCGCCATCCGCGGTTATCCCGTTCAAGGCAGGGTGATGTCGGTGTAGGAGCAGGGCATGAGAAGTTGGCTATCAGCGGCCAAGCTACCTAAAAGCGTCATCTCAGCGATGAAACTATGGTCAGCGATAACGTACGTACCAAGCTTCCCAGAAGCTGACCGAAGGCCCACCATATTGATAGGACAGTCAGCAGAAACTGATGACTGGCGGGAATCAACTCTACACGCTGTTCAGAATACGCGAAGCACATCTACGGAACAAGATTGCGCACCAAGGAAGACGGCGCTATCCACCGGAAGATTGCCTCCCACGCCGATACTCCACACAGCCGCCAGAGAACACAGCGCGACGTAGTTCGGCGACGCGCCGGCGGCGACCGCAAATACGCCCGTCATGCCCAGCGTCAAGTTAAAGCACCACCTGTACAACAAGCTCAGTGGCGTTGTCCACATGGTCTGATGCGAGCACGCACTTTCGTCCCCACACATCTGAGCCGATGCCCCAGAAGGCAGCACCAACGAGGAGACCGATGTTTTGTCCAAGCTTCAAGAAGGGTCCCTCAACGTTGAACTCGTAGACGACAGGGGATAAGATGAGACCCGTGACAATCTGAAGCTTTCGTCAGTTTGGTGTGCGGGCTTAACGGTACGCGACTGACAGGCCAGAGGTTATCTCTGTACGTGTGGCATCAGTACAAGTCGGGAGAATGTCGGTCGGTATGCGCTTCGAACTCACGACAACCATCCAAAGCCGGCCACGACGAACAAGAACCACTGGGAAAAGGCCAGACGTCAGTCTCAAGGGCGCTTTCAAATGTCGTTTCGACGTACTTGGTACTTCCCCATACCAATCTCCTGCAACGCATCATTCAGAATAGTGGCCTTTGCTTGGTAGACCGGGTCGAGGGAGCCCTCCGTGTACACATCCTCTGTCCTGGCGTCGATTGCCTTGTCCAGCTCCGAGCGACTGGACTTCACGGACGCGGCATCACGAACGTCTGCATCTTTTTCAGAGGACATGATGGGGGGCGTACAAGTCACTCGAGGGTGCACCGCTCGACGTCGAACTTTATGTATCACTACCCCATCTTCGAGCCCCGAAGCGTAGATTCAGAAGCCTGATATGCCAACAAACGCCGGATCCAGGTGTAGCAGCATCAATTGAGAGGCGCGAGGACGAAATGCATCATCGAAGCAAGCGATGGCGATATCGCCGCTCCTTCGGTGCCCCTAAGTGAGGGTGCTTCAGCGGGAAGGCAACACAAGGCGGCCAACAGTCTGGTCCCATGAGGATGTGATCCAACAAGGACGGAGCGCTCGGGCAACATGCCTGGGTTTCGATACGTAGGGAAGAGATAAGGAAGAATTCGAAGAGTCAAGCTTCCGGAACGCCGGCCGATAGTAGGTTTTGATACGCGTCTGACCGCCATCGCCACTCGTAGTTGAAAGGCAGGAGATGTATGGAGGCATGCGACGCAATGCGCATGTGCTCACTGTACCATACCATGACGGCGGGGATCAAGACGTCGATCTCGATCCTGCGCCTGGCCGCGCGCGTCGGCGCGTCGGCGTGTCAATCCGAAGCTTGCGGTTGACCACCATCAGCGGTGCCGACGTTGCTGCACTCTACACGAAGACAATGTATGCTGTACACGCATTGCAAAGCCTTCCCTCTAGGATGAGGTGCTGCCTGTACAGCTCGAATCGATACCAACATCAACGGCTTCCCACTGAGCGAAGTGGCTCATGAGCTCCCTCCAACGTCCTTCGTGCGCCTCCATGAGAGCTCTCCAGATATCGCTGTCCGCTCCGCCTACTCGTCGTGCGTTGATTAAGGTCGCGGCAATGGCCACGTCGCGATAGGAGAGTTCATCGTCCTGGACGAAGGGAGTGTTCGTGCTGTTACTGTACGTATGAATGTCATCTAGTACGCGCACCACGACTTTCAACAGCTCCGCGCGTTTCGTGTCCGGCTCGGCCATGGCTTCCAAAGTCGTTCCATACGCTTTCTCCCGCTTAGTTCTCCACGCAGCCCGTGTTTCTGGCAGCAAGTTCTCTGCGGTCGGCGCGACCAGCAATGGGAACAAGGACTCGTTGAGACGTGCACCGAATGACTGAACGAACTCGATGGACTGTGCTACCCGTAGAGAACGTGTTTCGGGGAACGTTTCCTCCAGGTACGCGGCGATCGTGTTGGAATCAGATAGCACTGTCTTCTTGGAGGCGTCATACATGACCGGAAGGGTGTAAGTCTCCGCCTTCAGCATCCAGTGGCTCGTCGGTGAAGCACCGATGCGCTTCAACTCGGGCTCTATCTCCGGATGAGACAGCCAGCGCGTCTGGTACTGTATGCCCTTGATGTTCAGGAGATATCTCTATCGAGGTCGGGGTGCTCAGATGACGATATCACAGCATTGCAGCATACAGACATACCACCCGCCACACGTTACGGCTCCAGGCTTTGTCGCTCAGGACGGAGGTTATGTCGTATAGAATCAATTTCGTAGCTGACATGGCAGACTGGATCAGAGCGACATACGCACAGAGGAGCGTATTCACACTTTCTCAGCACCGGCTACGACCGGGGACGTAGAGAGCCGGTGTAACTACTGCAGGGTGATCACGCGTCCAACACCTCTTCTTGTCGGCAACCTAATAGATATCGTGCATTGATCCAGCGCCTACGCCTGCTCATAGACCGTATTGTTACTACAATACACCGTTCTCAACTTCTACTCCATCTACCACTTCCCACTCAGCGAAGCGATCCATGAGCCACTTCCACCTTCCTCCGTGAACCTCCATGATCAGCCCATACACATCGCTGTCCACTCCTGCTACCCGGCGTGCCCAGGTGAGGGTTGCGGCGGTCACTACGTCGCGGTAGGTGACCTCGTCGTCTTGGATGTACGGACTTTCTCCTTTGCTATTGCTGTGCGCATCGATGTCGGACAGCACGCCAAGGACATCCGTCAAGAGCATGTCGCGTCGCTCATCCGGCTCTGCTAGAGCCTCCAGACGCATACCAAACGCGCGCTCGCGTTTCTCGCGCCAAGCCTGTCGCGTTTCGGGGACGAGGTTTTCCGCCGTTTGTGCCGCGAGAAGCAGGAACAACGCGTCGTTCAATCGCTTCCCGTAAGAGTCAACGAACTCGAGGGACTCTGCGACGCGCAAAGGTCGAGTCTGAGGGTACGTCTGCTCAAGATATCTCGCAATCTTGTTGGAGTCGGAGATGGCGGTTGCGTTGGTGTGGTCATAGATGGCCGGTAGCGTGTACGTCTCAGTCTTCAATATCCAGTGAATCGTTGGAGGAGCACCGATGCCCTTGAGCTCGCGTTCAATCTCGGGGTGAAGAAGCCAGCGCGTTTGGTAGGGGATGCCCTTCAAGTTAAGAACGTATCTCTATGACGATAGCGAGATGATTAATCGATATACAAAGGCTCGACGTGTGAATCACGCACAGTCCGCCATGTGTTGGGACTCCAAGCTTTATCTTGCAGCACAGATGTGATGTCGTAGAGCGTCACTTTGGTTTCTTCGGACATGATGGACCTGCGATGGGTGCGATATGAGATAGCCGCAAGAGTGTGAAGGTCATGGAAGCGCCGGACGAGTACGGTAACGCGGTTCGCTGCTCTGCACCCGCCGATAGGGGCTTGCGGTGACCGGACCGAGTGTGCCGCCGTTCAACGCGGTCACGCTCGCGTTCTCGTCGCGTTCAGTTTCTTCTTTCTCCAGAGTCCACCACGACGCCCTGGAGCGCAGTTAGCCCCATACAACCACCCTACACCTTCTTCTCTCCTACAACACGTGTCTGCGCTAGAATAAGCCGGAAGCGCGCTAGATCTGCCAGCCAACAGGTGCTGGCGCTCATCGATCGTTCTCGCGAAGCAAACATGCTCAATCTGCGTTAAATGCCCTCATTAGGCGCCGGCCTTCCACGCGACTGAGTGTAGCGTATAAGAACTTGAGCACTACGTGCACTGGAGCCGGACTGCGCTGTCTATACCCCGCGATGCAGGTGGACGAGCTCGAGGCCGCTCCGCCCTCTGGCGACGCAGATGGCTCTGCAGCCTCTGCTGCTTCCGTTTCGATGCCGAAAAGTCGCGGGTATCAGCAAGAGATGTTGGAGGAAAGCCTGCTTCGCAATATCGTGATTGCTTTGGATACAGGCGCTGGGAAGACGCATATCGCGGTCCTGCGTATGAAGCTCGAAGTTGAACGCGAGTCGACTAAGGTACCCCAATCCATATGTGCTGCACGAGTGACTTGAAATGCTGACCATTCAATCAGGTGTGCTGGTTCCTGGCCCCGACCGTCGCGCTCGCAAACCAACAATACCGCGTCATCAAGAGCTCGCTACCGGTCAACGTAGCCATGATCTCAGGAGCCAACGAGCCAGATCAATGGAAAGACATCAAGCTCTGGCAGCGAGTTCTCAGCGACCATCGCATCGTCGTCACTACTCACGATGTTCTTCTCAATGCGCTACGCCACGGATATGTCAAGCTTGGGCGTGACATCAATCTCCTGGTCTTCGACGAAGCACATCACGCAGCGGACAAGCATCCGTACAACCTCATCATGCAGGAGTTCTACCGACCACTTCCGGAGAGACCAGCGGGAAAGGAGCGTCTATCGGTACCGTCCACTGCGGTGGTCCGTCCAATGGTTATCGGTCTTACCGCCAGTCCCATCTTCGGTGGGGACGTCGAGAAGGCGTTCATGTGAGGCTTACGTCCCGTTCAAGATACGCTGATCCTGCCACTGAATCAAGTTATTGATAGGAAGATCGAATACAACCTGGATTCGACCATACGCGCACCGCTTATGCACCGAGCAGAGCTCGCCGGTTTTGTGCATCGACCTCGCTTCGACTACGCCATCTACACCATGCCTCCATACCAGCTGGACTCGGAGAACGCACCGACGGCCGGTCTCCGTTCGCTCAAGGCCGTTATCGAGGCACTCGATATCAACGAAGACCCTTATGTCGAGTCGCTACGCCGCAAACTACGCAACTCACCGGCTGGGCCGGAGAAGACCCGAACAGATCAGCGCCTCTCGAAGTCCATCGCAAAGAGGGACACCTACACCCATAAGGGTCTCCGTGACCTGCATCGTGCTGTGGATGAGATCTGCATGGATGTGGGGACGTGGGCTTCGGACTGGCTTTTGTTCAAGGTGCTCGAGCAAGCCCGCCGCTCTCAAGGCCTTCTTCCTGAGCTGGCCGGTCTGGCCAATACGAAGGAGACGCGTTACCTGACGGACAACCTCGATCGGGTTGAAACTCCCCTACTATCTTACGACGACGACGCCATTCTGGCCGGATGCTCACACAAAACCAGCGTGTTGATTGACGCTTTGTTGGCCGAAAAGGAGTCGTGCGAAGGATTGGAGGAAGACTATCGCGCACTTGTCTTCGTGACACGCCGCGACGCCGTGTTATCCCTGGCCGAGTTGCTCGCGCACCACCCTCGCACGCGCAACACTCTCCGTGTGGGCTGCCTCCTCGGTAACTCGGAGAGTACGCGCCGACACTCGTTCCTCGACATCACGCGCCACTTGCTCAAGCAGGATGCTAACAAGACCCTGAATGACTTCCGCACAGGCGATCTGGACGTGATAATTGCAACCGCTGTAGCCGAGGAGGGTCTCGACATTCAGGCATGCAGTACGTGTTGGTTTATCCTAATCTACGCCTTCACTGACCCTTCGTAGATCACGTCGTACGATGGGATCCTCCTCCCAATATGGTCAGCTGGGCCCAGAGTCGCGGACGTGCGAGGAAGCAAAGGAGTACATTCACGGTCATGTTCTCCGACGAGCTCGGCGCTACCAAGATCGCTGATTGGCACATACTCGAGGAGAGGATGAACGAACTTTACAACCAGGAGCGTGCGAAGAAGGAAGAGCTGGAAGATGATGGCGAGGAGCTGAATCCGCGAGAGTTTGTGCATCCGGAGACAGGGTACGTTCAAATGTATTCTCGCCGGTGTCTCCCGTGCTGATCCTACTGTAGTGCTAAGCTGACACTGAACTCTGCCGTCGAGCATCTCACTCATTTCTGTGCCATTCTTCCTTGGTCCGGGCGTAGCGCACATGCTCCGATATTTGAGGTCCTGCCGCACGAGTATCCGCCCGAATGGCACAACTACGGCGGCTACATCGCACCTCCGATCGGTCCATTTGGCTGCACAGTCACTCTCCCACGCCTTATTGATGCGTCCTTCCGCTCCTTCTCGACGCCGGAGATCCACGCTACGAAAGTCTCCGCACGTCGCCATGTCGCATTCCAAGCGTATCTCACTCTACATGAGAAAGGGTTACTCAACGAACATCTTCTGCCGTTGATGAGTCAACTTGAGCCCGAGAAGGAGGAGGAAGTGCGCATGCTGCTAAAGGAAGTCGAGAAGCACCACGGCACCACAAGAGTTACGAGCCAGATGGATCCTTGGCTCCCCTCTGGACCGCAGGAGACATGGTGGTCCTCGTTGATCCAAGTACCGGGACTGCCGGATATGCGTCTCTTGACGCTACGCCCTCTCGCAACACTCTCTCCGGATGAGATGCCCATCTTACACTCGCCCGAACGCGGTTCATTCAGGGTTCATGTGCATACCGACACGGCGCCTTACTCGGTTGATGCTGACACCATCGCAGAGGCACGCGAGTATACGCGCCGCCTTTTCGTTCCGCTCTTCGGCTCGCGGATGACGTGGGAGAAGACGGACTTCGCTTTCCTCTTCCTTCCTACCCGCACTCGCGACGCGACTTCCTCTCACTGGGATAATCGGCGTGCGGCATATGCTGCAGAGCATGAATTGGCATCTGTCACTGCTCAGCCACTCCTAGCGCGGGCGTCCTGGTTCACTGAGCGATTTGGCCTTCCGGACGACATTTTCGTCGTGAGCGAGTCTCGCCGCTACGGAAAGCCATTCCGATTCGTGCGATGGCGCACAGACCCGCTTTCCGCCGAGGAACGTGTTGAGCTGTACGAACGCTACCACTTTAGCGAGCACGAGAGCATGGAAATCAAATATCCCTTGCTCGAAGTCAAACCCCTAACGTCGCGCATGAACTTCCTCGCTCCTGTGCCACCGGAAGCTAGGGGTGACGACGCGGCCAGTCAGCGTTCAATTGTACTCTTGCCCGACTGGGCTACTATCGGCCTGATATCCGCGGACGAGGCGCGCTTTGCTATGTATGCGCCGTCCATCTTGCGGTATCTGGCTATGGCCAATACGATCATTTCGATGCGGGAAACCATCTTGCGACCGGCTTTTGGGGACGCGATGCCAGACTTGAAGCTCCTTCTCGAGGCCGGAACAGCACCCGTCGCACAGGAATCGTACAACTACCAACGCCTCGAACTACTGGGCGACACGGTGCTCAAGTTCCTCACGAGCGTCAACCTACTCGCTGAACATCGATACTGGCATGAAGGCTATCTTGCTCGCCGTAAGGACCATTCCGTGTCGAATACATCGCTCGCGAAAGCTGCTGTGGCGAAAAAGATGTACCTATGGGTTGTTCGAGACCGGTTCTCCCCCAGGAGATGGAAGCCCACCTATACATCACTCGAGGAACAGCTCGCAGAGCCGCCTATCGAGATTGATGGCACCATCAAGGTTAAGAAGCGACAAGATCTCTCCACGAAACTGTTGGCGGACGTAATCGAGTCCACCATTGGTGCAGCGTATATTCGCGGCGGGCTGGATGCGGGCACGACTGCTGTCCGCGTCTTCGAGTTGGGCGTCCCGATGCAGCCCCTTTCTGAGCGCGTAGCGCAGATTCGGTCACGTGCACAGGAGCTCGAAAGCTACCCCGCTTCGCTCTCTGCTGTAGAGGAGATCATTGGGCACAAGTTTGAGCAACGCGCGCTCCTTGTCGAGGCCCTCACGCATGCCAGCTATCAGAGCGACCTGGCAACGGTCTCATATGAGCGCATGGAGTTTCTTGGCGATGCCGTGCTGGATATGATCGTCACGGACTACCTATACCGGGCCCCTCAGCAATATTCACCGGGTCAACTGCATCTGAGGAAGATGGCCGTAGTCAATGCACACTTCCTAGCACTGCTCTGCCTGCGCTCCCATACGAAGAGCACCAGCGCCCTTCCCACCTGGAGTGGACGCGCCGTGAAGCTTCAGCACGAAGAAAAGGCGACGTATCTCTGGCAGTGCCTCTTGCACTCCAGTGTTCCTGTTCTTGACGAACAAAACATCACGTTTGCGCGCTGGCAGACACCCCGCGGCGGTGCCCGCATAGAAGCGGAGCTGGCGCGCAGTCGAGTCTTTCCTTGGGCTCCCCTCATGGCACTACAAGCACCCAAGTTCCTCAGCGACATGGTCGAAAGCCTGCTCGGCGCAGTCTTCATAGACACGCACGGAAGTTTGGACGCAGTCCGTGCAGTACTCGTACGCCTCGGTCTGATGCAGGTCCTCGAACGCATCGTGCGCGACGACGTCGAGACCCTCGATCCTGTCTCCCAACTCAGTCTTTGGGCTTCGAAGCGCCAGGAGAAGATCGAGTATCGTGTTCAACGGAGAACTGCCCAATGCACTGTCGTTTGGGATGGCTTCGAAGTGCTCACGCATAAAGAGGAGTGGCACGGGCGTGCTAGCCAGGAGGACGCGAGGTTTGCAGCGGCTGAGCGCGCTTTGCATTTGTTGCGCGACCCCGTGACGCGTCTAGAGATCCTGGCGCGCAAGTGGGAGAAGCCTCTAAACTACGACATACATCACGAGAACGGTGGGGGATTATCGTGTGGTGTCTCGCTCGACTTCGAGGTTGCACGCGTATATGGCCAAATCGACGCACCCGATGCACTCCGTCGGAAGGGCGCGGAAGAAGCTCTTAAACTCCTCGAGGACCCGCGCTGGCGACTCGAAACCTGGTGTGCACGGCGCGAGATCGAGTACGAGTTCGTATGGGACATGGTGAAGGATCACGACGATGATGAAGAGTCGCCGGTCTGTGTACTGTTTGTCGGTGGTGTCGAGCTCGCTCGCAAGCGCCGTCCCCGAAAATGGAAGCGCTTCGTGCATGAGGATGTGGAGAAGAAGGTAGCAAAGCTCGGCATGGTCATATTGGATGAAGAGGATGCCGAGGCTGCGAATAACGACGAAGGGCTAGTAGAATTGGAGCAAGATGCCGAGGAAGGCGAGGAAACCAGTGCTTGGGATGCGTGGGAGGCAGAGGCTGGTACCGAGGAAAGCTGGTGAGACAAAACGGGATGTAATATGTAGATTCGTCGGACATGTGTACATTATCTGTAAGAATACCAGGGGTTCGGATCGTGTGTACCAAACACTGAGAGACGTTGTAGAGTTAGACATGGGCTTCGATGTCGGTCTTTTGTAGAAATCCTCCAAAGTACCGAGTTAAGGACGTCACGCTATCCATTGAGGCTGTGAGACCGACATAGCCATCCGGACGCACGACAACGAATGCGCCGCTATCGCTGATGCCGTACACATCATAGGCCCTTCCAGCGTCTGGTGGCCCATGAGCGTCTTCAAGCACGCTGTAGAGGGTTAACATCGTAACCAGGCTGCAGATCTGCGGAACTCTCACCTAGTCCAGTCGGGGCGCATATACGAAGGTAGGTCGAGATAGGTGTAGGCGTCGCTCATCGTCTTGACCACGGTGAAAGTCGTGATAAGATTGCCCGGGAAGGGGTCCAACGCTTCTTCTACTTCGGAAGCCAGCGCTGCGAGGTGTTCCCTCTTCTCCGGCGTGTCCAAGTTACCAACGAATGCAAACAACGTGAAGCGACCATTGGAAGGGCATAAGTCTTGAATTTCGACGGGAGCATGGTCCGCGGAATGGAGTAGCATCTGTGGGAGAAGACGCTTCCCGACCACCAGTCCAGAAGCAGCGGATGATTGTTCAGCTGTGATAGAAGATGGCATGTAGTGCACACCGCATCCACTCGTCAGGTTTGATGCCGCAATGAAAGCTCTTGATAAAGTATTGGGACAAGCGTGGCAACAATGGAGCAATGGACGTACTCGAACGGGCCTGGAAGGGAAACGCCAGTCTCTTCTTGTAGTTTGATCCGTGCCTTGGACGAAAACCCCTCAGCGTACCACTTGTCGAACTCGATGAGCTCCAGTGCAAACGCTCGCCTCTCCAGTTCATACTGAAGAAGCGTAAGGTTGCATACACGGACCATGAGCATCGATCTTTACCGTCTTCATGAATGAGAGCGGTGCAAGACCGCGCAGCACGTATGCTAACTTCCACCCTGTGGTAGAGCATCACTTCTTGCATTGGTGTGCTTCGATGGTAAAGATACTACGCACCGAAGTTGTGAGCATCATTGATACTGGTATTCATTCCTTGGCCTATAGAGCGCACTTATGAGACCATGATCAGTGTGATGAGATTCCAACTTACCAGCCTTTGGTGAGTGCGTATGGCAAGCATCCCCAGCTATGAAGACCCGTTCGTGCACGGAAAACTTGTCAGCAACTCGCTGGCCAACTACAACCAACGCGTGAGTCTACCCGGCTGCTATAACCTTGACGGAGCAACGGAGTTGTACTCACTGCCATACACAGTCCACCATATCACGTCACTCATAGAGGCAGGTTCCATAACGTATGGGTGAAAGACCTTCTTCGCGATCTATCGCAATGTTCAGTACAGGAATGAGTGGGCAAAGCAGGATACTCGCCGAGAGAAGCTGTTCGGCGCTACATCGTGATAAGTCCACGCGCCCAGTTTGCGGGTTGATGAAACCTTCTTCGGACCCAAGCTCTATGTATAAGCGGACTTGATTGTCTTCGCGAGGAATGGATAGAATGTTCACGCCATCCCCGTCAACAGTGGTGATGTTGCGCCAGTCCGGAAAGTTAGACTCGGGCGAGGGGAGGAAATCAATTGAAGCCCAGACGTGAGCTGGGTGTAATTGAGTTTATGAACGATGAATCAGGAGTTCAAAACCAATCTCACGGGTTTGCGACCCTTCCATCTTAATACCCGCTAGCCGTCTGACAGCCGAATGCGCGCCTTGAGAATTGTCAGTTTACATAGGAGCCTACAGCCTGAGTATTACACACCATCAGCGCCCAACACAAACTTTGCGCGGACAACTTGTGGCGGCTTCTCTGAGTCTTCGGACCTGAGCGTAACCTCAAAGTGACGTTAGGCGGTTTAGAAAGCGCCTGAAGAGATAGCTCACAGTGACAGCATGCGCGCTTGGATCCAGTAGCGCCTTCTGATCGGATGATATCTCGAGGTCAGATGGAGAATACAGACGCTCAACGAAGGTACCCCGGGCGTTAAGCGGTTCTAGCATGAAAGACTCAATAGAGCCTTGGGGGATCCCGAGCTACTATGTTTCAGTATCTCATCGGTAGCAATGAAGCGGTTATACAGTACAATGAATGGATAACGAGCGGTGGGTTCAGGGACTGCGGGCATGCGGACCGCAAACTAGGTTCAGGATTAGCCTGAGGTGCACTGGGACGGACATGTCTATGTACCTTCGGGCTCTTCGTAGCGTGATCATAGTTCCAAGTAGACTAATGTATGACATCAGCACAAACAGCAGATGCAAATACGAAGGTGAGGTCCATCACTAACGACACGGTGTATGTGACTAGCAACCTCGAATAGTTTCTTGTCAACGCCGTAGCTCTAGACTTGATCTCAATCATGGACCAAGAGGCACGACAAGTCGAGCTTACCCGGAGTACTGTGGGCGATGATGTGAGAGTAGGTCCTTTCCGGTGATGATGATGACAGACCTTCGAGCGTACGCGGCATGAGGCCGTCCGCATATCCAACAGTCTTCTTGGGCGCGAAGTCGACTAGCTTGATGTCCTGTACGCCGCACTTGAGCAGCGATAGAGCCGCCATCACACCCGCGGGCCCAGCTCCCACTATCAAGACATCAACATTCTGAGGTGTTGTGGAGTACATGAGTGGGGAAGTCAAGGTAGAGCAGTCCGTCCTGGCAGGAATAAGAAGTATGTGAGCTTTTGAAGGCAATGCAGACCCCCCGGTCACCTGAATGGGACCGAGCTCCATATAGACGCTCTTTGTGAGCTCCAAAGTACAGAGACGTAGTAGACGTAATCTCTCTTCTTCCGTTTTATCCCCATAGTGGCTGCCTTCTGTAGTGATTTTTGCATGAATGCGCACGATGGTGGCGATATGTACGCCAGGACTACAGTATAGCATTAGGCACAATCGATGAACTAGCATAGTTAGCTCAGAAGCCATAATACAGATACTGAATGGCCCACAAACCTTAGCCTAACGGAGCCGTAACGAGATAATAGCTTTCTGTCACGCATTCTCCGTACGCGTGGAGCACGCCCGGCCTCTGAACGCACGCAGTGATCTCACCGTTTGCGGGCTCAAGTCAACTTTACTTTTGGGACTTCCGGTATCTTCTTGACCAAGTCGAACGAAGAGGAGGAAGGGCTCCTGGTGACGAGCTGCCATATACAGTTGAAGACTACGCGTCGCCACTGCTACAGCCAGGCGTGACCGCATGGTTTGACACCTCCGCACTAGCGGAAGAAGTTTCCGAATAAGTCACACTAGGATCGACCCTGCTTTGACTGGAAGAAAGTGCAGCGTCTGAGGCGGGTAACGTGTGTGCATGGCCATGGTGGTTGTAGATAGAAACGTCCGCTGACGTCCGATGAGTTCACTTCAAGGAACGATCGAACGCGGTCACCTGAACGCGTCTGAGACGCGTCGCGCCCGACTCGCGTCCCGATGTTGTCCGCCTGAGCCGACTGGACCATGCTACGTAGGGCCCTATCCGGCATGCACAGCACTCTTGAGAGGAGCACACTTAGGGGTCTCCCTGATGATGCGCGAAGCATCAGCGAGGGCAGCAACGCCACGAGGATGTAGTGCACTTACGCCCGTGATTGTCCACGGTAGTATTCATATAAGTACCACCAGCCTTCTCCGTAAACGGACTCCGGTGTGTGCCACACAAGCCATGTCCCTGTCTCTCCAACAGACGCAAGAGTAGCTTTCTAAGTATGATGAGCGTGGAGGTTAGAGTCTTACTTCATGAGAGTGTCGCAAAAAATCTAATCCGCTGGTTACCGATGGTCGCACGTAACCAGCGCTGGCCAGCGGCGCTTCGTGGCCACAGATACAGTTGCGCCGGTTAAGCATCACCAGCACGTGATCAGCTCGTAGTTGCTCGGTGGCCCGCGCTTGGCCAGCGCGTCGCCAGCGGGTGGCCAGCGGCCGACTAGCTCCACGACGTGTGAACACTTCTGGCCAGCAAGCAAGGTCTACATTTGAATCCACGTACGCTCTACAGGAGAGCAGGTTTCGAGCCCGGTACGGGACTGGCTGCTCTAGGCTGCTTTCATGTTGCGTATGATAGACGGAAACATTTAATAACTATGGGTTGGGGCCCTCGTCTGGGCTGGTGGCGCGCTGGCGACGTGCTGGCCACGCGCTGGCGACGCAATGCTCGCCAGTTGGTGACAGATCTCGACCGTGCTGTGTACGCTCTGCCACCTGGTGAGAACGCGAACGCGCTGGCCACCCGATTCAACTTTTGCGACATTAGTACATCCGATGCTTGTGAGATGGCAGAGTTTTTCTACGATGACTTGGAAGGTAGGCGATCTGGATACTAGGCCAAAAGACCGAGTGGTCTGTTCCATGAAGAGTCCCATGTCATCTTTTCATTGTAGATCGAGGATATATCCTAGAATGGCACCGGCGCCGTCCGACGTTGTGCTGAGGCAAGGTCGTAGCCCTCAATGACAGTCGTGAACTTTTTGAAGAAAAAGGTCGCATCACATTGAACCCGACCATCCCGTCTTGCAGAGTCCTATTGTAGTTTTACGCAACGTTATCATCAGCTCGTCAAGACTGGACGCAGGCGGCGCCGGTTGAGCTACTATTTACAGACAAGCGCCGCGGCCACGGGCCGGTCACGGTCATGATCGTGCGAAGTCAACAAGCGAAGATGGCGAGACGCGACGCCGACGAGTCCGTGCCTGCTTAGCGCCTTCATTGACCGGAACACCCGCTTCGATTAGCACGGGAGACTCTGCCTGTATGTTGTCTACAAACGTCTTGTCTTCATACATTCTGAGTCCGTGATGCATCAGGCTGCACATTTGCCCCCGCTGTGGAACCCTTGTTCTCTTCAGTCTACAATCTGCCTCCCTTATGGGTGGTCTCACCTTTCTCTCTGGAAGCCACCCCGGACGGCGCGTAAACACCGTACTTACCTCCGTACGCTTCGATGAGCGCCTTACCCGGGACCCTGTCAATTGGATGGCATCTAAATCTGTCGCGTGCCGAACGCGCGCCAGTGTTCGCATTCAAAAGCCCTTGACCTGCGCCGGATATTATGGATAACATCCTCCTCCGACCATGTCTACACCCGAGGTACTCCGCCTACCGTCACTTCCTGCGCCACAAGCAGTCGGTCGTACGGGGACGAACATCGTGTCCGCTTTACCACCGCCTTCCTCGGACCCCGCCTACACCGTACCCTCTCTGTCTTCGAGCACATCACACCTTCAAGTTCGCACCCAGGCCCTTCAACTCGCGTACGGCCTTCGCCGTGTAGTCAAATTAGCTCCAGGGGATGTTGTCGGAATATTCAGCTCCAACTGCGCCGAATACCCGAGTGCAGTCCTGGGCTGCTTCGCCGCACGCACACCCTGCACACTAGCGAATGCCCTATTCACACCTCGAGAACTCTCCATTCAATTAGCGGACGCACGGGCCAAGGTCCTTATCGCTGGTCCAGGGCAGTTGGACGTGGCCCGCGAGGCGCTCGTTTCACTGCCAGGCGTCCAACTTTACTCGCTCTCACACGCCGCCGGCTCCCTAGATCAGTGCATCTGGGACTTCTGCGTGCCAGGAAAGGAATTATGCGATGAGGCTGTTGATGACGATGAAACGGCCCTCCTCTGCTACTCTTCTGGGACGTCTGGTGCGCCCAAGGGCGTCCGCTCTACGCACGCAAACCTGCGCGCGACGCTCTCGCTCACTGTCGCCGCATCGCCTCGAAGCTTCACAACAGACGAGGTCTGGATGAGCGTACTCCCGATGAGTCACATGTACGGCTTCGTACGTCCGTTCCCCGTTTCATCTCGGCCTTCTACTCCACGTTCAATTCATCCAAGCCATGCATGGAAGGCTGACGAACTGATCTGATGACAGGGTTACCATATCTTGCTCACGGCCTACTTGAATGTACATGTCATTCTTCTGCCTGGCCGCTTCGACCCGCACGCCTTCCTCGAAGCGCTCGAGGCATACAGAGTGACCGCCGCTCACATCGTGCCCCCGATTGCTGTCAGGTTAACGAAGGTATGTCGTTTCACAGGTATTGAGTACGCTGAAGCTGAAAGAGCATCTATAGGATGACCTCCCTCGTGCATACGACCTATCATCTCTCCGCGAATGGCGCTCCGCCGCAGCGCCTCTTGGAGACAAGCTCGGCACCCTACTCGAACAAAGGTTCGGTGCACCGCTGCACAGTCTATATGGTAACCCTCTTCTCTGTGTCGTACCTTTGTCCCCGATCGCTGATGATACTACACCAGCGATGACAGAAACAGCCGCCATATGCCTCATGAGCCGTCAGGGCGAACCTGTTCCGCCGGGGTCTGCGGGCTTGCTTGCACCGGGCGTTGAGGGGAAAATCGTGGATGGCGAGCTCTGCGGTATGTATCTCCTGCCCCTGTCAAGTCTCCGTACCCATTATGTTTTGATAGTGCGTGGATCGAACATCATGCCTGGCTATCTCCGCCGCCCAGACGCCAACGCAGAGGCCTTCGACGAGGAGGGATATATGCGAACAGGCGATCTCGTCCGCGTCGAGATGCATCGAGGTGTCCAAGGCGAGGAAGAAGCCTGGATATATGTCCTGGACAGGAAGAAGGAAGTAGTGAAGTGGAACGGCTTCCAAGTGGCGCCGGCCGGTCAGTCTTCTGACATCATTTACTTGACGTTTGTGAGCTGATGTGGAACACCAGAGCTCGAAGACATCCTCTTGCGGCACCCCGCTGTCGCCGACTGTGCGGTTCTAGGCGTCCCTGATTATGCTGTTCGCGAGGAGGAGCGAGGAAGCGAGCAGGTGTTAGCATGCGGTATGAGGAGAGTTTCATTCTACCGGTTCAGATCGTACTGATTGATCTCTCTAGTCGTCATACGCAGCTTCTTGGACGCCCAAAATGAGAATGCACCGATGTTGCACAGGTCGGAAAGCAGCGACACGTTCTCTTCTGCCGGCTCGACAGACTCTATCTCGAGAGAAAGTGACAGCGATACCTCAATCGAGACGCACGAGATCAGTGCTCCTGCTAAGGTATCGCCGACGGCAACGGCCGCAGGCGGCGAAGCATACGCAGCGGCAAACCCGGATGCGATGTTGGCACTTGCGAAGGACGAACGCGTGCAGCTCTGTACCGAGCTCCGTACGTTTGTCGACACTCGGGTAGCACCATTCAAGCGGTAAGTTATGGATTACATCGCTGTACTGACCAAGCTAACTTTCCGGACTGCAGACTACGCGGCGGCGTTCGTATTGTGGCACGGATTCCGAAGAGCCCCGCGGGCAAAGTACTTCGCCGAGTACTGAGGGAGGAGATTGTGAGGGAGCTGAGAGTGGAACATGGAATCGAGGCGTGAGGACCACCATGTCAGTTGCTAGTAAACACCTCATCGCCACCGCGGACGATACTTCTCATGGATCTCTCCTTTGGACTTTATGACCGCACGGGCGCTGTATTCCTCCTCATGTACTGCCACTCTTCCTCGTTTAGTTAGATGATTCTATGTCCAAGCCCCAGCCGCATCGCTCACGGTATCCTGATTTGTACAGCACGAGAGCCAAAGGTATTCATACAACAGTAGCAACAGACTCTAGTTATGATACAGACACGGGTATCGCGCAGACAGTGGATACATTCTTTCCTTCATCCATCATACACTCATCGAAGTTCATCACTAGCTTTCCTTCGGTTTGCTGTCGCCGTACTCAAAAGTCATCCTCCTCCTCTCCCCAGTCAACGGCTTCAAGAGCTGCCTCCGTCTCCTCCTTCATCTTATCCAGGCCAGTCAGTTGCTCCAAGTAGCCAGGCTCATCGAAGGCACGGCGAAGCATGCTGAAGCCCTCGCGCTCGTAAGCGTGAAGAACCTATAACGACGATATCTATCAGTACTGGCGCAAGACTATGGAGGAGACGAGAGCGTACCGTCTCGCTACATGCTGTACACCTGCTGTATGCCGCGCCAACGACGGGCAAAGTTCTAAATTGCGCCAAGTACCCACGAAGCTGGTGCGGTACAAGGCCGAGAACGCCGTTGTGCTCTTCACCGGGTTCAATCGCAGCGTTCGCCGGAGGGGGAGGAGCGTGTTGGCCTGTGCGAAGAAGAGAGAGATACAATGAGTAAAGAGACGAACCGTATCTGGGCCGATGACATACCAAGCGGGTGCTGCAGAAGCGATACAAGCAGCTCGACCGCACTTGCGCTGGCTAGCGCAGCAAGGCCTGGGCGTGTGACGGTACACATTTGGTCCAGAGTGCGGTCGGACAACGACTACGAGGAACCAATTAGCGCGGACAAGTTGGAAGAGTGAAAGGGAAGGCATACATCTGCCGGTGCGACGATGTCGTTACAGTAGTAGCAGCCCAGACGGGTCCCGTCCGGCGACTCAGTACGTGCACCATGACGCATGACGAGGAAGGTGTCGAAGCCGAGAGCTGCGTTGAGGATGATCTACCCGGTGACGATTGATCAGAACTGAGAGCAGAGGGTTTACACGTCAATGCCTACCTTGCCCTTCGCAGCACCCAATACGCTCGGTAACCACCGGCTCTCGCGACTGTCCATGAGCAGGAACACAGCATCGTGCTGTTCTACTAGCTGTTCCAGGCGCTCTACTGCCGCCTTCGTGGACTCAACCTCCTGGATATCCTCGTAAGGGTCTGGTAAAGGTACTGTTGAGACTCAACTTACTTCAGGGGGGATTGGGTGTCCAGGCATAGGTATGGCGAGTGAAGCACCATTTGCATCCTATGGGATACATGGTCAGCGTTGGTTCACCGAGGTGAGCAACTGGCGGAGTAAGTGCTTACCACTCCCGGATAGATTCTCCTCAGCGCATCTGCGGCACATTCGGCTTTAGGCCGTCCACCATCAAGCGAGTCATTGAACTCGAAAAGCGGTTGGCGGACGGGATTGGAGAAGGAGACGCGCCCAGAGTCCACGAGAGTGATCGTGCGCACTCCCCATCCCTGAGATTACAGCGTAAGAGCAGCGAAGTGCGATAGAAGTTTTGGTTGCATACCATGAGCGCTCGGGCAACATAGCAGCCGAGGGTGCCTGCGCCGAGGAGAAGGCAGCGAGTCTGAGCGATCTTCTCCAGGTCAAGCGCGGGAAGAATGCGCCAGCGCATCAGTTTCAAGTTAAGATCAACAGCTTGGTCCGCCAGTCTACCATCGTCCGTGAGAAGTCCACCAGAGAGGCTCTGTCAGAGAGCTTACCTTGTTGGGTCCATCATGGGTGCGAGGTCCGCCATTCGTGCACCCAACTTCCCCTGCGCGTTCTTCTCCCATCCAACCGCGCTCGGCCGCTGGCCATCCGACTGTCCACCGTTGACAACCGCCGTAATGCTTCGCCACCCTGCGCCTGCCCCGTGTGGGATCTCCGTGTCGCGCCAGCAGAGAACACGAAGCTGATGAGCGGCAGCAGGATGTGCCGCGCGAAGGTATGCCAGCAAGTTGCGCAGCGGCCATCCCGGAGACTGTGCAGACGGCGAAGGGTCCAAGAACCCGATCGCGCGCTGATGTGCCGGAGTGTCCGCAAAGAAGTCGTCAAACTCGGACAGCGGAGCGATCTCGACGATGTTGCCTGCCGCTCGGAGTAGGAAGAAGGGCATATGTGTCGTCGCGAGCTTGTCATGGATCATGCATAGCTGCGGCTTGCTGAAGGCGCTGCTCGCGGCGACCCATTCATGATTGTAGGCCGTATCGAGCTCCCAAAGCGGCTGCGCAGCGAATGCGGGGAATGCGAACCAATAGTAGTATCTGTACTTCTTGAGATCCGCGTATGTGATGAGCAGGAAGCGAGTTAGGATGGACGGATCGGCAGTTGCCAGTGCATCAGTCCAGATGGATTCCGCGACAGTGTTGAACAGGGCCTTCTTGTCCACAGACTTGAACTCTTCGAGCGTGTTGTAGTTGTACAGATGACCTTCCGCTTTGACGGCCCACGGTGTAGAACTAATCGGTATGAAGAACATGCATGATGAGCTTCGCCACGCTGTGATAAGATCAACAAGAACGCACGGATGTTGCTCGTCAAACGCGTCACCACCCAGCGCAAAATTACACCCAAGCTCAACATCGGCGCCTGTATTACGGTCACGAACTGTCCTCCCTACGCTATATGATCCATGGAGAGACACTCGGGCATCGGAAAGTCGGAGAACGTCAAGCTTTAGCCGCGTAAGCTCGTGCCAGAACGCGGGTTGCACTATGGAAGAGAACGGGGCGAACTGCACGACAGGCATTCTGTTCGCTGCAACGGTGCTTCGGAGGTACAAGTGCGATACCGTTCAGATCGCTCAAGTAGTCGTCGTGGTAGTGGTAAAGGATCAAAGGTGAAGAATGCCCTTTGCCACCGGTGAGCGATGTGAAAGAGGCCAACCGCTCGAGGCACTTATCTGATCAAGCCCCTAAGCGCGAACTTGAACAGCTACCGCCACGAGCAAACCCCACACCTGAATATTCTCCCTTTCGCTACGTATGTCGCATCGACTCATGAAGATCGGAAACAAATTGTCGCAGACTCGTGATATATATTCGTCATATATAGTACGCGGCTCCTATACACCAAAATGCACGAATGGAACCCATCTTTCGAACTCATTTACGCCGACCTTCTCCCTCAACGTTCTCACTGCATCATGCAAAGCATAGGCTGCTCCTGTCGTTCCGCACATCTCCTGAGCGTTCTTCCGTAGCTCCAAAAGCCTTTCATAGTAGGCTTCCACAATCACTGGCGCATCAGCGTCCCGAATCGACCACATAGTAGCGACGACACCCTTGAAGCCGACAGCAAGCATGCCTGCTGCCAAGTGTGCGGACTCCTCCGGCATCTTATCGTCACCGGTAGCGGTCTCGCACGCGGACAGGAATGCAAGTTCAGCGTTGTCCGATGTGGTGTTCATGAGTGTAGACAACGATAGAGGGCCGTCGAATAGCCCGAATGCGCTTTGCGTCGGATCGTTAGGATTCTGAAACCCGTGACACGCGAAGTGAACCCAAGGGTGTCGATCCACCGCGGCAAGGGTTGCATGCAGAGTTGCTTCGTCATGTTCCAGGAGGGTGCACCGCTCTTGGGAGAAGAGCTTGCGAAGCCGTATGCCTTCTTCGCGAGTACTCGGAAGTGACGAGAATCCTGGCGTATCTGGCTCATCAGGGAAACCCCGGCCTCCGGAAACTAACTTTTAGCCTTTTAACGCGTCTCATCGCGATTTATTTGAGGCGGCATAAAGACACCCAAAATCAGTGCGATAAGGGCGAATGAAGAACCTTGGCTCTATTTACCGAGTCTTTTTCGTCCTTATCCGATGGCCACCGGGGTCGGTCGAGCTGCGAGGAGTAGCGTATAAGTCCACTGAAAGTTGGGCATGAGCTTGTGTGAGGGTCGATTTGGCGAGCACATGTACCCATTTCTATCGCCGAAGTCTCAGGAACGCGGTGATAAAGGAGCAACAAGTTGATTATGTCAGCCATCAAGTAGAAACAAAAAGTAATTATATTGTTTGTACATAGCGCACTTGGCGCGTACAGGAGGCTCGAACAGGAGATATACAACATTCGTATAAGCT